GTATAATAGTGTTATAATGGCAAATATTTAAAATAATTCAAATACTCAACAATTGGGGGTAAATTTTAGTTAGTAATAATTAGATCATGAATCGGCCAACCAAAGGTTCCTTTTCATTGTCCTGGAACCTAAAGAATATTTACATGTCCTGAAGAAATGGTTGCTCCTATAATATGAAATGAAAAAAGGAGTATGTAAGAATTTTACAGTACTTGTTTTAAAATGCTGTGTGTATACTCTTGTTATTGTATTAGGCAGAAGGTATGATACTGGACAATTTTTATTTTCTTTAAATCTGTCTATCTTCATATTTTCTGCATGAATATAAGCAAATAGGAAAGTTGTTATAAAAATAAAAATGGACCTAGAAAGATCCAGTTCTTGAAAACACTGTCTCTGGTAATGAAGCAAAATGGAAGATACTTAATATTAACATGAGTGTCATTTAAGGGAACAATATCTTTATTCTGCTATTTTAAAAAAAAGACAGAGAAAGAAAGAAAATAGGATTATTGATTTTTATACAGCCAAGACAATACGTGGGTTTGCAACAGCTTCCTGAGAAAGCTGGGTATTTAATACTGAAGTAATCTAAAAGTTAAAATATTTAAAAAATTAAACATGCTCATTATGGTGTGAGATATTTTAAAAATCAATATTTTACTTCATGTATGCTTTTTATTAGTTGACAAACTACATGAGCTGGTGATTTTTTTTTTAATAAAGAAAAGGGAAGGGTGTTTTTTTATAGTGTTTTTTATTGTTAAATTTATAGGAATGCTTTTTGTTTCCTTAAGTTTTCTTCACCAGAAGATCTTTTTTCCTTAACATTGTTTCTACTGTAATCTATCACAGGATGCTTCAGGATCAGGATTTAAGAACTTTTGTTTAAAGAATTTGTAAAGTCACTATGTTCCTGTTTATGAGATTGACTTCAAAATAATAAACTGCTAATTACAAATTAAAAAATAAAATTATAACACTCAATATATACCAATGAAAAAAGATGGATACAAATCATGTTGAACACCACTTGTAATTGCAGAAGTCAAACATGGCTTGAGTATCACAAATTTAATACATTTTTTTCCCTTTCCTAAAAGGTGCTTAAGTATTTTTGGCACCCTCTGTAAGTACTGATCTATCTTCAATTCGTGACATTCTTCTCATCAAATCCATTCTGCCATTAGGCCCACTCAGTAACTATTTTACTCTCAGTGATTATTTTTCCCTAAAACTTCCATTTAGATTTTTTTTTATTTCTCCTCTGAGATTTACTATCTTTTCCTTTATAAAAACATATTTCCTTTCCCTCATTAAATGTAGTTCCATTAGCTGCTTTGGAGCCGTTGTCTGGTAATTCCAACACATGGATCACCATGAGTTTATCCTCTCTTAATTATAATTTCCTTTGAGAATAGGTTCCATTTTCTTGGTGCTAATGTCAATTAATTTTGCACTTGATCTTAGCCAAAAGGCCAAGAAGTGATGTGTCAATTAGTTTTGGATTATGTCCGAGACATTATGGAAATTTTTTTTTTTGAGTTTCTGGATTTTGTTATATTCCTCTGGGAACCATTGACGCTTTAGTAGAAAATTAACTTGCTTAGAAACAAACTGAAAACTGTTTTGCTTGCTATAGGTAACAGTTCAAATCTCATTGTGGTTTTTTAAATTCTGGACAAGTAGGGGGATATTCTACTTTTGGTTCTTTAATCTGAGTTGTAGCATATTGTTCAAATCAAATTATGAGTTAGCCAAAGATTTATATACAGAATTTAGAGTTCCTCTTTTTTTCCCCTAGAGACAGAGTCTTACTTTATTGCCCTCAGTAGAGTACTGTCGTGTCACAGCTCACAGCAACTTCCAAGTCCTAGGCTTAGGCAACTCTCTCCTGCCTCAGCCTCCCGAGTAACTGGGACTACAGGCGCCCACCACAATGCCCAGCTATTTTTGTTGTTGTTGTTGCAGTTTGGGGCGGGGTTTGAACCCACCACCCTTGGTATATGGGGCTGGCGCCCTACCCACTGAGCCACAGGCACTGCCTTTCTCTGGCTCCTTTTAAGACATTTCTGCCCCACTTTCTAGCTGCCGTGGGTTCCTCAGGACAGAAAGATAGCAGGCTTTCTGTGAGAGTTTTACTACCCTGCACTGTACCACAAGCTTTACCTACCACTTATCAAAGGCACAAAAGTGGGACACTCACTGTGTCGCTCATTTCTTCCAAGTGTTGACTCTGCCTGGCTCTTTTCGTTCTTCTTACCCCTCAGGTTCTCTCTCTCTATATATATTTGTATTTTATCTAGAGCTTACAGCTGTTAAATGTGAAAAGGTCAATGCTAGGAGCTTATTTCTCCCTAGAAGTGGAACTCCTCAAACTAATGGTGTAATATTTCCATATACCCATGTTCATCCTCATGTACACATCTACATTTCTAGATTACAGAAAATAAAATGTACATGCTATGTGAATAGTTGTTATACTGTATTTTTATTGTATTTTTTCAATTTTTAAAAAATACTTTCAATCTGTGGTTAGGTTAAATATGGATGTGCAACCCACAGTATGAAGGATTGACTGTAATTCATTTTTCTTACACTTAAGTATTGGTGATGGATTGAAAATTAAACACTGTTCTTTCCCCCAGATATTCTGAGAAACCCTGGCCTATATAACAAATTAAAAAAAAAAAAAACTTTTGGGCTTGGTGCCTGTAGCACAGTGGTTACAGTGCCTGCCACATGCACCCAGGGTGGTGGGTTCAAACCCAGCCTGGGCCAGCTAAACCATAATGACAACTGCAATGAAAAAATAGCTAGCCGTTGTGGCAGGTGCCTGTAGTCCTGGCTACTCGGGAGGCTAAGGCAAGAGTAAGCCTTGAGTTTTAAGTCTTGAGTCACTTAAGCCCAAGAGTTTGTCTCTTCCAAGGCAGAGTCAACACTTGGAAGAAATGACCAACACAGAGTGAGTTTGAGGTTGCTGCGGGCTGTGATGCCACAGCACTCTACTGAGGGCGACATAGGGAGACTTTGTTTCAAAAAGAAAAATAAATAAATAACTTCTGGGATGGCCTCAAAATAATTTAATGTAAGAGATAAGCCTAGATGGTAATTTGATTTATAGCAACAGTTCTTAAATGACCCAGGATAGGCTATGTTCTTTTATTTTTATTTATTTATTTTTTGGAGACAGTCACTTGGTCACCCTTGGTAGAGTGCTGTGCCGTCATAGCTCACAGCAACCTCAAAGTCTTGGGCTCAAGTGATTCTCTTGCCTTTGCCTCCCAAGTAGCTGGGAGGCTATTTTTAGAGATTGGTCTTGCTTTGGCTTAGACTGGTCTGGAATGGGCTCAGGCTCTCCACCCACCTCTGCCTCCCAAGTCCTGGGATTACAGGCGTGAGCCACAACGCCAGGCCCCAAGATGTTCTTTTAAAAGATAAAAAAACTGAGGTACAGAATGCCCTCATGAAGTGTATTTGCCTTGAGTGAACGGCTTAACAGCCAATGTGTCATTAAAGGAATTTGGAAATAACTTAACTTTCAGCTGAGGTTAAAGTATGCTTTCCTTTGTCAGGTTAGAAGTAAAGCGGTAAGTTCGGTGCACAAGCAGTAATAGTAATAGTTCCGTGTAATGATAATCTACTGTGACTCGGCTAGGCTCCTGTGGCTCAAGCGGCTAAGGCGCTAGCCACATACACCTAAGGTGGCGGGTTCAAATCCCCAGCCCGGGCCCGCCAAACAACAATGATGGCTGCAACCAAAAAATGGTCAGGCGTTGTGGCGGGCGCCTGTAGTCCCAGCTACTTGGGAGGCTGAGGCAGGAGACTCGCTTGAGCCCAGGAGTTGGAGGTTGCTGTGAGCTGTGATGCCATGGCACTCTACCCAGGGGGACAGCTTGAGGCTCCGTCTCAAAAAAAAAAAAAAAAAATCTACTGTGACTCTGTTTTTATTCTCTTTCTAAAGATGAGAAACAACTTAATCCGAAGCATAAAGCAAACTTAGTTACAGAACCAGGATTCCAACGCAGGTTTGTCAAGTTCCAAAGTCTCTACATCTAACTACACTGTTCCTTATTAACTACTAGATAGAGCCCTACATAAATTATTACGTCAGCAGGCAGAAGACTTCAAGTACTCTCTAACACAGCGCTAGAAATTAGGCAGGAGAAAGTACAAGGGATCAAGGGATCATCAGTCTTAACAGACATACTTTGGTACATCTAAGTCAAAGTATCAGCCAACGGTGAATTAGCACGTTGAAAGGCAGGAAGGGGTGGGCAAGAAATGAGTAAATTCTCCTATGACTAAATTGTAGATATTTATGCTTGATAGAAACCCTTCTGACTACTGTTCTCTTTGGCTATCATGGGAGTACAGTTAAGGTATCCATACAAATTACAGAAACGAAAAGAATCTGTTGTCATCCGTCTTTGCCACGCTGAAGAATGGATAGACCGGATATTCATTCGTTAATAGTTACCCTGTTTTAGCTGAGGATAACTAAGCTAGGTCGTTCTTCTGGAGAATGAACTTGCAAGTTAATATCTCATTGATTACTATACTTCTTTTTTTCCCACCACGTCTGGCTGATTTTTTATTTTTTTGTAGAGACAGGATCTTGCTATCGCCCAGGCTAGGCTCCATCTCCTGGCCTCAAACCATCCTCCCACCTGGGCCTCCTAAAGTGCTGGGATCCTAGGTATGAGCCACTAGGCTAAGCCTTTTGGTGCTATACTTTTAAGATTTTCGCAGAAACATCAACTGTGCAGTATAAATTAAATCTAATTTAAATTGACGTAATTCTCTCTTTGCCGAGCCCCCTTCCCCGCCAGCCCCCAGCCCCGCGGCCGCGGTGCGGTCTAGGCGGCGCCCCGGGGTCTCCGCTCCCCGCTGTCTCCGGGGCGGTCCCGGCGGCGCCCCGAGGTCTCCGCTCCCCGCCGTCTCCCGGGGCTGTACGGGCGGCGCCCCGAGGTCTCCGCTCCCCGGGCTACGGGCGGTACGGGCGGCGCCCCGGGGTCTCCGCTCCCCGGCTCCGCGCGGTGCAGTCTGGGGGAACATGGCCGCTTCCGGTCTCGCTCCCCGGCCGGCGCTGGGCTGACCGCGGCCCCTGCCCGGCGCGCTGCGGCCGCGGAGGCAGCTCCGGCCTTTTCCTGCCGCCGGCCCCGCCGCACCATGGAGAAGAGCTCGAGCTGCGAGAGTCTCGGCTCGCAGCCCGCGGCCGCCCGGCCGCCCAGCGTGGACTCCCTGTCCAGGTAACCCGGACGCCCAGGGCCCCGCCCCGCGGCCGAGGGGGATGGAGGGGCCGGGACCCGCCGCCTGGGCCGACTCCAGATCCCGGTTTCCGAGCGCCTCGCCGGAATCCCTTCCCGGAGTCGGGAGCCGCCTCTCCCTCCCTCTCCAGGCCGTAGAGGCTGCGGAAAGGAGGTTAAGACCCGTTCTCCCTGATCGGTTCTCTTCTTTCTTACTGAGCTCCGTGCTCTGCCCGCTGGAGGCAGCCCCGGGACTTGGTTTCTCGTATCTCTCATTCCGTCCAAATCGTATTTGGACAGCCCTTCCCCCTCTCTTTCCCCCTCGTTGCCTGCGTTCTCTCTTCACCACTTTCCCCCAAACCATCCTCAGTGTTTCTTCTCCTGGCCTTTCTCGGGTCTTCGGTGTTGGGTTCTGGTCCAGCCCTTTCTCTCTTCCATCCCTTCACTTCCTTTCTATCTCTTTCACGTTTTCCTCTACACTTTGATTTTTCCCTCCTTTTGCTTAAATATGTAAATAAAAATGTCTCCTGCGCCTCCGTTTTAAATCTTCCAGCTGAAAGTCATTATCAGAGAATCTGAGTAGTCTTTACCCGAGTGATTGGTTTAAGAAAGTAGAATGAGCGGTGGTTTCCTTCCTTCTTTGGCTACTGGTTCTCCAGGTTGTCATTCCTCTCGTAATAGACCGGAATTTTATTCTGGAATTTTGAGGAGGGCTTTAGTTGATGCAGCTTTTGCAGAGAGCTGCTGTATTAACTAGACATGTTTTGGATGCAGTCTTTTTCTTTGATTTAAAAATAGTGATTTAAAATTTTATTAAACAATAGGAGACCTATAGGTTCTTGTTATACAGCCACAGTGAAATCAAGTTGGTTTCCACTGAAACATAGTCTGTGATTGGAGTTATTCGATACTGAACTGCTGTGTGAAACACAGTTTTCATTTCCTCCCTTGAATAAATTGAGGTTGCTCTGTCTTTTAATTCGTTTTGGACTCTGCTAAATATGGTGGTATTGACATTCTTCCCTATCTATGTTCAGGATCTCACTGGGGAACCACCGACTGATCCCATCATTCTAAATCAGCTTTGTCTTCCTGTAACACTCATAGCTCTCTGCCGGCTCCTTTGGTAGAGTCTTTAACAAGCACCCTGTAATTGTTGCTTTAATTGTCTTTTCTACTCGGCTGTAAGCTATTTGAGGACAAGGCTCTTACCTTAAACATCTTCACGTTGCTGGCACTTAATGTAGACCCTGCATGGGATAGATAATAAATAGTTCTGAATTTGTAGACTGAATTATCCAGAAGAGACGTTTTCTTTGCAGTGGATTACGTTTATTGCACAGTTGTTTCAAGTAGATTTAAAATTCTGTATTTATTACTGTGAAATTGAGAAAGCTGATGATACCCATGCACAGCTGTGAAACTTGTCGTTCAGAAAACAGGTTGGAAAATGATAACCTTATGGGAAAGTTAAAAATGACAACTGTGGTTTGGAATAGAATATAAAGAAAGCAAAGGGGGCAGCCAGAACTCTTACCTATGGGAGAGGAGTTGGAGCCACCGGAGGCGGCTCAGCAGATTCAGGAAAAGGAAGTCAGGAGGCTCCCAGCTGAACTTCCTGGCTCGCCTATTTGGTCTGTATCATTGAATCTTTCTAGTCTTCAGTATTCTCATTTTATTTAAAAAAGAGGTTGGTCTAGAAAATCTGTAAGGTCCCTCGCAACTCTTAAATTCCATCATGATTTAATCTTAATGATAATACTAAGATAAATGCATTCTTGTCAATTACTAATAACCTTTGTTTTGGATTTTTGAAACTACACTGTTATCTCTTATTAGTACAAACTAACATTTATAACTCTGCCACTTTTACATACTTGTTTCTTAAAAAAAGAGAAAGCCCAGCAAATTAAAGTTTATGTTTTAAGGTCTTAGCGATGTATGAGTTTGAGAAAATTACGAACTCCTCCAAGAATTTTGATATAGTAGGTCAGCCTCGTCCTCTCTGGACAAAAATATAAAGAAGACATTTTATTTTCCATTAGAGAATGCAGTTTTCATTCCTCTTCTCTGTAAGGTAGAAAAATAACATTTAATTGAATATCTACTGTATAGAAGTTACCCTGCTAAATTCTTTTATAAAATCTTTTATTTCGTTAATGATTATACCTGTTTGGTCCTCTCTTTATCAACACTATGTAATAACTGCATTATAGGCACTAGTTAGAAGGCTTAATTTTAAATGTAATGTAAACTAATGCCCAATCCATAGATGATTCTAACACATAGCCAGGATGGACTAGCGTGGTTTAAATACCTGCTTGTATGTTAAGTGTCTGTCTAGATTGTTGAAGTTTTTGCTTTAGTTATGTGACAAAAATACTGATGTTTGGACTGTATTGTCTCAGCCTTTTGCAAAAATGTTGCCCTTAAATTGTTTATTTTTATGCCTTTTTTTTTTTTTTTGAGACAGAGTCTCAAGCTGTCACCCTGGGTAGAGTGCTGTAGGGTCATAGCTCACAGCAACCTCCAGCTCTTAGGCTAAGCGATCCTCTTGCCTCAGCTTTTCTATTTTTAGTAGAGACAGGGTCCCACTTTTGCTCAGGCTGGTCTCAAGTCTCAAACTCAGGCAGTCTACCGCCTGGGCCTCCCAGAGTGCTAGGCTTACAGGCATGAGCCACTGCGCCCAGCCGGTTTCTATTTTTCTACAGAGGCTTAACTGGGAAATTGCCTTGTGAATTTGTTTTGATTCACTTGCGAAATAATAGTTGATAATACTGTTAAGTTTGTCTCCGAATGTCTTTTACGTGATAGATTGACATAAATTTCTGCTGAATTTAGCTACAAGGGATATTGATTATGAAAAAATTATGTTTGTTCCCTGTTTGTCAGAAAATGGTAACTATGTATATAGTAACTGTATCTTTCTCTTCAGCTCAGCAAAAAACTTCAAATTTATACTTGTCTCTAGTTTCTTCAAGTATTTCTACTGTTAGATAAACTCAGGTTAAATATTATGTATTATGTTTAAATGTCTTAATTTACAAGATGTCTTAAGCCTGTCAGGGAAGTAGAAAGAAAAGAAAAATAACGCTAATTCATCTGGTTGCCCGTTTTTGAAAATGATGTAGTCTCCTGAAGTCGGAGAGGAGACTGTTGTGCTTTCTGTCGCTCTAAACATAGGTTGAGGCTCCAGAAACGTCTATGGTCGTTTCTGAGTTGCTGTTGCTTCTAGCTTTGCCTTCTAGGTCCTCCAGCTTTTGGTTACAAAAGAACGATTTTATTCTGTATATATGATATTCAGATGGTAGGTTCTTAATCAGCTAAAGTTACGTCATCTTAAAGTGTTCAGTGACCGTTTTGGGTCCTGCTCTTGTCCATTCTTCACATAGGTCCAGCTGTACAGTGAGAAAGAACTGTGAGAAACTTCACGCCAGATACTGAGAATCAATTTAGCTATATTCTATAATTTTATTCTTATTGGTCTGCTCTGATTCTACAAGATAAAATAGTCTTACAGTCAGATGAGATAGCTTGGGTAGGCTAAGCCTCAGAACTGTAGTGGTTATGCGGCAGAATTTGATACTATCTTTGTAACAGTCTGTGGTCCTAGTGCGGTTTAACATTTTCAGTTTATACACTATTATAAACTGCGCTGCTTTAGGCTTCTGTGATTACTTGTTACTGTGCATAATAATATGATGATGTGTCTGGTGCCACGTTGGTGATCAGTGAACATCTGAATAAGAGGAATGTTGACCCAAAACTCACCGTTAGCCTTACTTTCCCATTCAAGGGATTAAAAGGGTTTTCTTTTGTTGAATTTGGCCTGAATAGTTACAACTATAGATTCCAGCTGAAGTATTTTTATATGAGCCTCTTGACATCTTGATTTTGTGTCTGCATTATTTTTTCTGTGCCCAATCTTACATAAATATATTGGAATTATTATGTCCTCCCTGTTTTTCTGTTGACTACTTTTGATTACTTTGACCCTTTTTTTCTCCAGCTTATCACTTAAGCTTATTTTTTCATCCTTCATAGATCCTCATGCTTTAGTTATTCTGGCACTACACTTTCTTTGTCCCAGATTATTTTGGTTTTATTGATTTCTAGTATATAAATTCACTAGCATTAATGGACATCTTATATTTACATTAAACTTATATTAAAAAACATCAGGAAAGGTACACATGATATACTCTAAGTAATCTCCAACTAATTGCGTTTGAAAATTACATGCCTTCCTTAAAATTATCATTTGGAAACAGTAATTCCTGAATTTCTTTTTTCATAAATTTTGATTATCCTTAGAGCTTGAAGAAGTAGAAGAATTTCCAAGACTTCTGGACATTTTTGTTGTAAGGTCTTATCTTTAGGCTCATCCTCAAGGTCACATAAAGATGATAGGTTGGTAGGAAGGGTGCTTTGGAGTTGTTTTGGTAGTGGTGATGGATTTGTGTACAATCACACATTCTTACCCTCTCCTCTAATGCCATGTCATGTTTTCTGAGATAGCTTATAGGATTAGAGGTAGAAATTATAGCTCCAGAACTAACTGAATCTGCCAGGTTGAACCTACAACCTTGGCACCTTGGCATTATTATGTAGAATCTTTTTTTTTTTTCTTGTTAGAATCTGTGTCAGACATTGAACATGTTGGTAGACTAAAAGTTACTTATTTTGGATTTAATTATTCAAGGACCTTTAAAGTTCCCTTCAATAAGACCCAATATTGTGAACCTGTCAGTAATTATTGTATAGGTTTTTCAAAAAAGACATTTAAGGAGATTAATTACTAATCAAAAGTATGCAAATTAATCCGGAAAGCTGAGATTGGGTTCTGTGTGCTTTTTCTTTTTTTCCTCCTTGTGTGATTTATCATCGATAATTTTCTTTTGGTATCAGTAGTTTCTAAAGTGTGGTTCCTAGAACAGGGGCATCAGCATTACTTGTGAATTTGTCAAAATTGCAAATTCCTGGACCCTACCTAAGACCTGACAATCCAAAACTCTGGGATTGGAGCCTAAGAGTTAGTTGTTTTAGCAGGCCATCCAGGTGACGCTGATGGATGCCGAAGTTTGGGAACTTCTGGCCTGGCTCTTTTGCTGATGAGTGTCCTGTAACATCAACATGAGCTGAGATGGATGAGGGTCTATTTTAGAGGTATTGTAAGCCTACTACTTGAGAGCATTTTTGTAAAAATGTTGACTGAAGTAGTAGAAGGTTATCTTGACTATTTTTTTGATATTTATTTATTTATTTATTTATTTTTGAGACAAGAGTCTCACTCTGTTGCCCTGGATAGAGTGCTGTGGCATCATAAATTGCAACAAACTCTTGGGCTCAAGCAATCCTCCTGCCTCAGCAACTGAGTAGCTGGGACTACAGGCACCCATCACAATGCCCGGCTTGTTTTTCTATTTTTGATAGAGACAGGGTCTCAATCTCAGGCTGGTCTCCAACTCTTGAGCTCAGGCAGTCTACCCACGTGGGCCTCCCAGAGTGTGAGTGCCGGGATTACAGGTGTGAGCTGCCGCCCTTGGCCTTGTCAATCTATTACATCTGTTTTTTAGGACATTTCCTGAGGTCTTCTCTTTCTCAGCCATGAATAACATGAATCAAGAATATGTTTTAGGCTTTTCCTTAAAAGAGATCCTTAGTGAGATAGATTAGTGGAAACATTTCAAAAAAGTGCAGTTGACCTTTGTACAAAATACACTTAACTTTCGTAGAAGGTAGGTTTGAACTGTGTACAAAATACAGTTAACCCTCGTAGAAGGTAGGTTTGAACTGTGCGGGTCTGCCTGTCTGGATTTTATTCCCCTGTCGTCCGGGAAGGAGCAAGACCACTCCTTTGTCCTCTTCTTCCTTCTGAGCCCTCTCCACACTAGGAAGATAATGACCTGCATAGTGATCCACTTGATGAATAGTGAATATATTTTCTCTTCCTTCAGATTTTCTCGATAGTATTTTCTTCTCTTTAGTTTCCTTGTAAGAGTATAGGTTATAATAGGATATAATACATAATAATGTACAGAATGTGTACTGATAGTCTGTGTTAGCAGTAAGGCTTTGGTTAGCAGCAGGCTGTTAGTAGTTTAGTTTTGGAGGAATCAAAATTATATGTGGATTTTTGACAGGAGAGTTCGCACCCCTCACGCCTGTGTTGTTCAGTGGTCAGCTGTGTTACAAAGAAGTAAACCAGCAAAATGCAGTTAGTTGGAGATTACTTGGAGCATGTCACCTGAACAACTAAACCTTGGATTATGCCCACGGGAAGGAAATGGCCTGGATACAGATGTCCAGATGTCCAGAAAGTAGTAAGTTTATTTTGGAAAATGGCCAGATTAACGCTGTGGTATTCAAATCACCAGGGCCAAAGATTGCATGTGATTCAGGATTTGAGTAGTGGAAATTTTTCAGATTTTAGTGTGGAATATTTTCTCTTTTTAAGGAAAATGGTTTTCCTTAAAATTCAAGTGGTTTGAATATGTAAAACACTTGCTGTCTCTGTGTCTACTCAATGATTTGGTTCAATCAGTGGATCGTGTTAAACATTAGTAGAGAGCTGATATTCAGGGAAGGATAGGGAATGATTTCATAAGCCTGCTTTCCACAGGAAGTCAGGTTAAAAATGGAACTCTATAAAAAGGTAAGATGGGTACAGGTTATTAAAGTAAAGGACTATGGAAGGTGCCTTCTTAGTGAAAATAATAACTTTAATCTCTTTTCCTGTAACTTTATTACACAGAACTAACTGTGCTTGTTCTACTTAATGTGTTTCTATATATGCAGCGATGTTGTCATTACAGACTATTAATGAGCATACCTTATAATCCTCCTTTTGCCCAGGTAATAGGACCCATGACAGTAATCACTGATGAATTTTCATTCTTTCAAAGACTCTCACTTCATATAAATGACTCTTGGGCTGTTTAAATACTTTTTAGTCTAGATTAAGTAAGGGCACATATTGTGTTTTAAATATAATACAAATTAACTTTAAAATATTCTTCAATATATGAGATACTTCAAAAAATCTAAATGCTGTTACTTGGAAAAAATTCAAGTTAGGCTTCAGGTTTAGCAGACTATAACAGAATATCCAAATTAACATGGCTTAACGCAAGAGATATTTAATTATTTTTCCACATGAAGGCCTGGAGATAGTGAATTCAGATTTGATGTGGTTGCTCTGATGTATTAAGGACCCGATTGTTCATATATCTTACATTCCAAGGTGACCTTTTGAAATAAAAGTGCTGCTAGAACTCTAACCATGGCATCTTCAGGACGGGGAAGAAGATATTCTTTCTCTTTTAAGGGTACTTTTTTTGGCAGTCACCCTTTTTAGCTTACATCCAGTTGCTAGAGCATGGTCCTGTAGTGTAGCTAGGCACAGGGAGGCTAGGGTGCGTAGTTTCTTCTGGGAAGCTTTTTGCTGAGCTAAAAGTTGGAGGCTCTGTCACTAAGGAATAAGATTGAGTGGGTATTGAGACATTAGCAGGTTTTCCCACTTTATACAAATGAATCCTTTAAAAGCAAGGGAGACACGTTCCAGTTGAGTCTATGACGCTTTACTTATGTCAGAGACACTCAGATTTGGAAATGAAATAACCAAGACAGAAAATACTCTGAGAAAGAGAGGTAATATAGTGTGGAAGACCAAAAAAGAAAGCTGTTTTTTGGAACAGTCTGAACTCTGAGTTTAACTTTCTACTTTTTTGTGTCTTATCTTGGTCTGTGTGTTTATTATCCTAGTCTAGCACCATAAAATGAAAGTGATACATTCAATAATTGCTGGATCATTAAGTGATAAGCAAATGCAAATCAAATTAAGAATGATTGCTGTACTTTAAAAAATGATTTTATTTGAAGAGCTCAAGGAATTGCATGGTAAATAAAGTATTGCATCAGATTCTACTTATGTGTATTTTGTCATTCAGTTTCAAGGGTATGGTCTCCATAGGGAAATAGAGCTTGACATTTTAGGCCATTTTAGTTTATGAATACTTTTGCTAATAATTTGTTTTTATATCCTTAATCTAAATTTTACTTAAAATCCATAGAAATTAGTATCTTACATATATGCTTGTCAGCTAACTTAAATAGTAATATTGTAAGCATATATTCAAAGATAAGGAGTTTAATCATTTGGGAGTCAGTTGAAGAGGGTAGATAAATCTCCTGTGGATTGATAAAACATTGATTCATCAGGCTCAGTGGGTTTATGGCAGTGCATTTCAACTGGTGTATCCTGAGAGGATCTTAAGTATGCCGCAAAAATTTTTAAAGATCATTAATTGCTTTTAAAAGAAGTTCAAAGCACAGTAAATATATACTTTTTTTTTTGATCAACATAATTTCAGTGTGCTGTGGAAGTTTATAGGTGCAAGTGTGCTATGAGTAAAAAAGTTTGAAAAACACGGGTTTATAGGTGTATGTCATAAACATATCCGTTTCCCTTCTTGACAGAATTATTTTCACTGATAGCAGCAAATGAGTAGCTGGTCAGGTAGGGAGGAGGTTTGGACTGGAGGTTGTGCATAAGCAGAAGAGGAAATAGTGGACTGGTAATGGACTGGTGGTTACAAACCTTAATTTTAATTTTCTTTTCTTTCTTTCTTTTTTTTTTTTTTTTTTTGAGACAGAGTCTCACTTTTTGCCCCTGATAGAGAATCATCATGTCATACATACCTCACAGCAACCTC